TTTAACTGAATTAACCCGACCGATTTATCGATTTTCAAAATTGCCTTATAAAATTTTGGGGGTCCAAGGAATTAAACATTGGACATCTAAATAAAACAATTAGTTCCTCACCATTTGAGTTGTAAAGTACTTCAATATTTTTTATGTGCAATAAGTTATATGTATTTAGAGATGGCAAAATGGCTCGTGGCTCGAGCCGAGCCGAGTCCCATTTTGGGACAAAGGCTCGAACCCGAGTTGTCCGTGTCATGGGTCATTTTCGACCGGAATGAGTCGAGCCAACTCAACCAAGTTTACAAAAAAAAGTTAAAAAAATAAAATAATATAGCTGCCTGTAAAAGGTAGGCAACTATGACAACTGCCTATGTTTCGCAGACAGCTGTGTAACAGTTGCCTGCGTTTATGTTTGAATATTAAAATAAGAAAAGAAAATATCAAGTCTGATATGTACTCCTTATCAATAGCTAGACTGCATACCGTACTACCCATAAAACACCAAGTTTGAAAAATAAATCCCCAATCATCATACATCCTTTACATAGGCATAATTAAGAAGACTCAAGAAAAGAATTGGATAATTGGATGCGTGATATTTAAATTTNAACTCGAAAATTGACTACGATATCAACGAAACAAATTGAAATTGATTTAGATGCTAGATTAGCTCCAAAAACACTTTGACTCTTTTTTTTGAAATTTTTTTAGATTAAAGACTCAAAATTTACGACAAACACGAAGAACAAAAACAAAAGACTCAAAAGAGCAAAAATGATAGAACCTGAATCTGGAGCCTAAACTCTGATACCAAATGACGCGAACCCAGGTATGGGATAAGCGTGAAAATCGCGGAATTAATTGAAAGTCCAAATTCAGGTTGTAGACGGTAGAATCTCAACCTGGAAATCGTTGAACCAAGCAACCAAAACCAAACAAAGTTTGAATGACCTCTTGATTACAAAATCAACGAACCTTGATTTGCGAACGTCACAAAGGGTGCCTAATCCTTTGATAAGTTCTAAGGGTTGAAAGCCACAAATATAACAATATTTGATAAGTTCGGTACATGTCAGTCAAGAACAAAAAGGAGAGAAATCTCATTTGATTCATAATGTCAAAAATGTTCTTTGTTTTACAATGAAATAAATCTTCTCTTTATACTAATGCTAGAAACCCTAATAAAATGTAATTAGGCCATAGAATATTATCAAATTTGGAAATAAAATAGAATTCTAGACTAACAAGGAAATCTCACGAAAATAAGAAAATTTCGCCAACTTGTTCTCGTCATGTTTCGTGCGATCGCAAGCCCAAAAGTACCATGAGTTTGCGTAGCCTTGTGCAGAATTCGTGTCATTTTCGAAATGTACTCATGGGCAAAAATCCGACAACCGAGTTAAAAGTTATGCCCGTTTTCATCCACGCTTTTCGTTTTCTTTCCAAATATCTTCCAAACCTTGAATCCAACTCGTTTCGGCTCCAAGCCCTTCACGAAACTTGAACTTTGGCTTGTCAATTTCTTCAATTTGGATTCCAAAACTCGACCAAGTGGTTGCCTATCCCAGATCATATCAATTACAATGTCTGTAGCATCGCCGCCATAACTTCCTACTCCTCGCCCTAGCTTGTCATGCTTTCACTTCAACATTTAGTAGTCGAAGTATACAGATCGAATTTTGGAATATTTTGGTAGTGGAGAATTTAAGGTGCAAGTGGTGGTAGATTTGAGGTGGTGACTGTGTGGATTATGGCGACGACAAGTAATGTCATTGACAGTGGTTGGGGTATACTGATGGAGTATTTTGGTCGAAAATATTTCAATACCTTTATATTCTACAAATTTTAAGTTTTGAGCATAGAAGATACTAAATTGTGCAGAGGTGTGAATCAGAATTGGGCAAAAACCAATCCAAACCAATCAAACTGATCAACCCAACCCAACCCAAACCAACCGGTTTGGATTGATTTTTTAGTTTAATTGAGTTGGGTTCGGATTAGGAAATTAAATTTTAGGTCGGGTCGGGTTCTGGGTTATTTATTAAAACTCAATCAAACACAAAAAGTTAAAAAATATTAAAAAGAAAATTAGTACTTAAAACTAAAAACGAAAAACCTAACTATCAAAATTCTCTTCTGCCTCTCATTGCTGCTTCCTGCTTATGCCTCGACTTCTCGACTCAATTTTTTGACGTGATTTTTGACTAAACACTTGGATTGAAAGATGATACTTTGTATTGAGTTTCGATGATTTAACATTTTTAGTATTTAGGTTGAATTCATTTTATTCAATAGGTATAATATGCAGGTATTCAACATATATTTAGATTGATTTAATATATATTTAATTTGATCGTGATATAACCTATTTAACAGGTTTTACAATATTTTTAATTTATATTGTTCTATTGTAATGGAACTTAACCTCACAGACCATTGATCCAACTTCAATCGACTTAAAACTTTTTAAATCACTATTTTTAATTTAACTGAAATTTGTCCAAATTGAAATGGTATCAAACTTTTAAAAAATTGTTCAAATTTAACGAAAAAGGTCCCAACCATTGAGACCATGAAAAAACTTGTCCAACTTGAATTGGACTCAAGTCTAAACCAATCAACCCAACCCAAACCAACCCGAATTTGGTAGGTTTGGATCGAGTTGAGTTTCAATCGTGAATGAGTTGGTTTCGGTTTGAATTATTATCAAACCGAAAATGGTGGGTTGAGTTTGGATTGGACTCAAAATCAATCCAACCTAACCCACGCCCAGCCCTATGTGTGATCATTTGTTTCCAAAACTTCTTGAATTAAGTTGGAATTTGTGTAATTAGTTCGATTTCAGCTAATTCAGTGAGTCTTGTTCTCATTAAATAAAACCTAGCAGTATTCACTTTGAAATATGTATTATTATTCTTCTTCTTCTATTTTTTTTTTTTTTCTCTCGTATTCTAAGTTACTGTGTTATATCAATTTACACATATTGAGAGGTGAGATATACTATTTTGTATTTTCCCATAATTACATATGTTTTTAAATAAATAAAACTTTCTCGCACAGTCGCACTATTGAAGCTTAAATTTTTTTATATTAGATCACCTTTTGTGGTTGAATCTGGCTGCCCTAATTGAATGGCGTCTATAACCCATGTTAATCCCATTGGGCAATTTTTTCTTCTTTTTGATAGCCGTGGATATTCGTGTCAACTTACGCGCACCTCGACTAATCCCACGAAATCCTGAAGTTTTCGACCAGATACTCACCTCAGTGGCTTTGAGAGGACTCGAACAGGTGATTATTGAGAAGCAAAACTCAAGGCCTGACCAATTAAGCAATCCCTCAAGGTTAATCACAGTGGGCGAATTTGACTAGTTTAAGCTTCATGCTCAATGACAAATAAATTTCAAGTACACTAAGGCCCTGTTTGAGTCACATTATTTNTTTAGGCTCTGTTTGAACCACATTATTTTTTTCATTCTCATTTTTTACTTATTTTTAACTACATATTTTTCAATAAAATTATATTTTTCATTACATCAATAATTTTTCCTTCTTTTTCAACCACATATTCCCCATCATATCAACAGTAAAAATGCATTTTTCTTCCAAAAATGTGCACCAAACGGGGCTAAATTAGAAAAATATTTGGACCCACACCTACCCTACTTTATAAATTCACAAATTAAGTTCGTGTTTGTCTTTTAACTACGATATCCAGACGAGGTTAAACTACTCAACTTTAAGTAAAATTTAGATTTTAATTTAAGTTAAAGTTAATAATTAATTTTAACCATATATTTTATAGGTCTTACAATTTTTCAACCACACGTTTCATTAACTTCTATCAAAATCTATTNTATAACTAATTGAATGTAGATTTTTTTAAAAATAATTATTTCAAAAATGAAAGACCATTTATGCTCCATAAAGGAGAAGGAAAAGAATGATAAAATTAATGTGAATACAATGGAGAAATTATTAAGTGCACGTGTACGAACCTTTTTCGGCAAGTCAAGGTGTTTTCCCTGACTTTGATGCCAACCGGTGAAATTAAAAAATGGGTGGAGTGACGATATTGATTGACAATTCACATTTGACAACATTACATTCATCAATTTCAAAAACTATTTTTTAACCAATGATGACATCATCAATATTGTCGATCATTATTATCAATTATGATTTACAAATATCATAATTGATAAAATAAACACCAAAGAAGAATAAATATTCAACCCTAATGATAAACAACTAAGTCACTGTTTGGCCATATATTTTAAAACTCATTTCTAGTCACACATTTAATAGGAACAAAACTTTTATCAGTTTTTCTACCACACATTTCATCTACTAAAAATCTGGTTTTTAACAAAATAATCAGCTTTAACAAAACAAGGAAATATAAGATTTAGCCCCCGTTTGATGGAGATTGAAATTAGTTTTTTAGTAAATTTTGATAAAATGTATGGTTGAAAAATTGTGACATATAAAATGTGTAATTAAAATTAATTGCTGATTTTAAACAGTACCAAACAGGGACTTAGAGCTTGTTTGGTACAGCTCAAAATTCAATTAAAATTGAAAATATAGTCGTTATTGGGTCATACTCGTCTAATAAAAGTCAATAATAACGACTAATTTCTCAATTTTAATTGATTTTAATATCTCTCGAACACATCCTTAATTGCAAAAGGAAACATAATATTATAACTAATGAGATTGGATTGAAAAAGGAAATAAATTAAAGTAATAGCCACTGGCTAACAAAACGCCAAAGCCAAGAAGCACCCTCAATGCATCATTTGACTTTCCAAAGAATAATTCTTATTCCTTTTCGTAACTGCTTTTTTCAAAATTGGAAAAATCCCATTAAATTTCTTAATAACTAGTCGGTTGGGAAAAAAATTCGGCTCCCAACCCAATACGAACCCTAGTTGTAGAGACAAAAAGGTAAACATCTTCATTAGCATATCCCACATTTTTCTTTTTTTACATTCTGATTTACAATGAATTTCCAGACACCCGTGGATGATTATTGTCGTGCATGGCAGGCTTTTGATCTCGACGTACCAAAAATCAAGCCGAGTAACGATGGTGATCATTTTTTCATCGAAGTTCACATGGAGAAGACTTATTTTCCATTGGAAGAAGAGGAGGACGACGACGAACTAAATCCAGATTATCTACTCGATTATGATTGCGACACAAGTATTTCGCCTTTTTGGGAACCATGTGGGAGGGTCGAGCACAACAATTTGCCGTTGAATAGAATCTCTAAAATCCTTTGTGAAGTTGGAGTGCCATTGCATCGACAGGGTTTCATGATGCACCGAATCTCGGAGGAGGCTGATGAAATTGCCAATGCACCCTTCAACAAGAACAAAAAGATTTTGTCCATGATTGTTTCGATAAGTATTGTGGCTGTGAAGCCAATTCTTAACCATATCAGGGTTCTGTAAACCATTGAAGATTTGCTTTATTTATTATTATTATTATTATTATTATTATTTATGTTATAGTTTTATTGGGTTAAGTAGGGGCATTGAGTCTTTTTATTTGGAATTGTTTCCTAGGGTTTTATTTGTTAAAACAATAATAATTTGGGACTAATTATTGCTTTATTCACATTGTCTCATCACTTAAACTTGACAACTCATCGCAATTTTCTCACCACTTAAAGGTTGACAACTCACCATCAATTTTGAGCTGTCATAATTTTATTGGACATAATTTATCGTGTAAAAACTCTCTTTCGACTAAAATCTTGACAACTCGAAATTGCGGTATTGTCAACATTCGAGTGTTGGGAAAAATGAAGGGGACAACCAAGTCGATCAGCAGACTTCGACTCAGCTATTACTAAAATTTTGACAACTTAAAATTGCGATGAGTTGTCAACGTTTAAGTGGTGAGACAATGATGGGAACAGCCAAGTCGGGACAGCAGACAAGACGAATACTTACCCAATTGAGTAAGGAATTATGGAAGATTCTCTTGGACATTCTGATTTGCAATGAATTTCGAGACACCAGTGGATGATTATTGTTATGTACAGCAGTCTTATGATCTCGATATATCGAAAGTCAGGCCAAGTGTAGAGAGGGTGATCATTTTTTCATCGAGTATTTTCCATTGGAAGAAGAAGATGAAGAAATGCCAGATTATCTACTCGATTACGATTCCTACAAGAGTATTTCGACTTTCTGGGAACCGTGTGTGAGAGTCGAGCAAAACAACTTGCCATTGAATAGAATCTCTAAAATCCTTTGTGAGGTTGGAGTGCCATTGCATGGACAAGGTTTCATGTTGGACGAAATCTTAGCCGAGGCTGATAAAATTGCCAATAAACCCTACAACAAGAACAAGAAGATTTTTGTCCATGTTAGTTTCGATAAGTATATTGGGTGTGAATAGGGGCGGACTCAACACCTGACGAGTCTCGACGGCCGCCCGTGCTGAATATGCAGGGTTGGTTAGAGGTTATACATACAAATTGGAGATTTATGGATTGAATCCATTTCAAACCAACTTATTGTATAATTTTTCTAGCTTTACAATTTTTAACAACACTAATATAATAGTGAGGGGATTCGAACCTGTGACCTCTTTTAAGATTATTGAATACTTGACTATCATGATACTTGTTGAATTTTGAAATTAAATCTAACATAATAATATATATTCCATTTTAGTAGTTTTAATGCAATTGTAAGGATTTGAACATATGCTCTTCCTTTGATTTATAGGAAACATGACCACCATGTCATTTGTTGAACATTGTCTCTATATATAATAAAATTATATATGTTTAATTTTAGCAAAAATAATTATTATATTTAATTTTTAATATTTTATTACAACTGACGGTCATTGGTCAATGACCGTCCGTGCTCACTCAAAATTCTAAGTCCATCACTAGGTGTGAAAGTTTTCTTCGAAGATTAGTGTTCTCTAAAGCATTGAAGATTTGCTTACTTTTATTTGTCATTGTTTTATTGCATTGAGTAGGGCTGTTTAGTCCTTTCATTTGGGATTGGTTCCTAGTGTTTTATTTTATTTGTTATAAGGGTATCATCGTTCCTTTGTTCTTATTGAATAAATATTGAGATTTTTTCAATTTTTTCATGATTTATTAGGTACTTCTCATGAACCAATAAGTTGTTGATCATCTTGTTTGTTAATTTGTCACTATCGAGAGAATGTTCTTACTTCGTCTATAATTTATATTGATCATGGTGGATTGGGCCTTGAAATTGGCGTATTTTCTCTCTCGTTTTCTTCAAGCATTACTTCAGTTTCAATTTCTGGTTAAACTATGGATTATTTTTAAGTTTTAAAATAAATTAGCAATGGCTATGATTTTTATGAATAAAAGATGCCCATAACAAAAAAAAAAAGAATGTTATATCTAGAATTATGTGGGATCTAGGGCTTGGCCTAGTCAATGTGGCACCAAAGAGTCAATAAACCAACGAGATCAAAATGATATCTAGAGACCCATCAAATAAATTCAGACAAAGATGAAAATGCCAAGATCACACTAACCATGGTAAATCAGAAGTATAAATGTAGCCGAGTCCGAGGATAACAACCTAATCTTAATATCATAGGCAAAATTGATCTATTAATGTCTCATATTGGCATTGTAGCTCAACTTATCTACTATTTTTTTGAACATCTTGGCACACTTGAAATACGTATCCTCTTGATACAAACTAGGGGATATTGTATCCATAGGATTTCATTTTTTTTTTGTTTGTGGGTGAACCACTCCTCTTTGTTTATTGACAACTTGAGAAAGAACATTCATGCGTTCGGCACTATAACTAGGTCGAGAAAACCTAAACTATACAAAGAGCTCTAGTCTGCTTTGAGCATATCTCTTAACAATAAGGGAGATGTCCACCTATAACTTCCGAGTGTGAAAATGTGAGGTTTATGCCTTCCATGGTTAGTTTGTGCCCCTCAAGCATGGGACCCATGGGTATAGGTCCCTAGCGATAGTCAACAAGCGTATCGAAGTGATTGGTCATTGATCCTTGCTCCGGTTCTTGGTCAAAGACCTGGCTTCCACTACTTGGGAGCTGACAATATCACGTTCTCTCTAGCACATCACTTTTCAAATCCAGTAGCAACGACTACAAGGGCTAAAGCAGAGCCCATGCAGTCTACACAAGTGATCCTCGACAAGACATATTGTGCTCATTGAGGTGTCAAGTTCAACACAAGTACCATATCTAGCAAGACATGTTGAATATTCCAATGAAACAAGTTCATGTAGTTACTAGCAGTAGATAATTATTAAGATACTATAAGAGTGGACCATAACTTAAAAGGTAACATGAAATTCATTTGTATAATATAATTTTCTAGAAGCCCTTCTGCACTTAATGGTAGGGGTGGTAAAAGGGTCGAGTAGCTCGTCGGTTTGGCTAAGCTCGGCTAGTCTAGTGAGCCGAGCTCGGCTCGTCAAAGGATAGATGTTCGGCTCATTGCCACCACTACTTAATGGTTTATTATGGAACAATAAGCTGATGCACAAAATATCATAATACAACAAAATATTTTGAAAAGATGATAGAATTTAGAAATCAAATTTTCTTAAATTGATTTGGTCCGGGAAATATGGAAATAGGGGTCCCCATTTTTAGAGTTTCAAGTATCTTTTTGGAATAATTACATCTTTTGACATAAATTAATATGGATCATTAGATCACATATTTTTAATGGTCCAAGACTCTAAATTGTAATTTATCAAAAGGTCATGATTTTTTCATAATGTATCTTTTGAATAGCCACACTCAATATGATACAACATGACTTTTGATATTTATCTTTTACATTTGAAGAGTCATGACTAGTTATTGTACCAATTGGAGATCTTTTGAATTTATACCTATAACAAATTAGAGTCATGTTACAATGACATAATCATTGACAAATAATTGACATAATGTCACGTTGTACTTCATTATTGGATTATTTTGAACACAGTCAGCTTTTTT